CGACGGCAAAAATATTTGCAATATTTTCAACGAGAAAATTTACAATGATAGACAAAACTAAAAAAAATTCGTTTCGTTAAAATTTCTGCAACAAAAGTGCTTTCATCGGAAGCGCCTAAGTGGTACTCTTCAGATTATTCAGATTTGCCAGAGAAATGCACTCGTTTTAAATTTCTATTTCATTTCGAAATTGTACATACTTTTTTTTGAAATATCACATCGGATAAAACTAAAAAAAGTGTTGTCTTGACATTTTCTATTGAATGCGGCATAGGCTTATTGAAAAAAATCTCAGATTAATAGCCAATGGAATCCGCCAAACTAGAAATGTTTCGATCTATTGAAAGATATTTTTGGTGGTTTAAAGGTGCTTTAAATCACCAAAAATTTGTCTACCGTTTTTTTCTTTAAAATATCGCCATTTTCTGGCCAAAATACACTTGGCCTATCCTTCATTTTAATCAACAGATGCTTAGCTTATTCCGTTTTGAGTAAAAAAACGCTGATATTTTTCTCATTAAAAATTTTCTATCCAATAAAAAAATTAATAAAAACTGTTCGGCAACAATGAATCTTTTATACCATTTTTAAATAAAAACAAATAAATAATTACCTTTTTCTACTTTTGACTTTAATATTTAAAATCATTTATTACAATATTTGTAATAAATAATTTATCATAGATTTATTTATCAATCAAGCACAGAGGAAAAAAAGTTTCGCTGTTTTCATTACATTTGGAAAAAAAAGTTTAAAAAAAAAGAAAAATTAATCAATTAAAAAACAAAAAAACTGAAAAACTGAGAAAAACAAAAGTATGAATTCGCATGAGAATCAAAAATACGTTTTAAAAAATGGAGATTACGAACAAATTTAATAATAAATAAAACGGCATAAACTAAAATCCATAAAATCAACAAAACAAAATTTACAGATTACTTGTCGATTTGATAAAATATATTAAAATCATAATCAACTGATAAGATTATCCTAAAGTTTTAAAAGTATCATTGAAATGTCAATTAGTAATAATGCGTACGGATAGAAAACTAAATTTGGCTAACTTTCTTTAAACTTTTCTAAAATATTTTCAGGAGAAATTTTTTTTATAGAAAATTTATGGATATTTAAACACATCGATTAAGAAAGATCACTGATCACTGATCAATCATTGAAAGATCACTGACTGATGACAGAATGGGTTTCAGTGAACCTCAACTGAGACCTTTTTCTTAACGAGAAATATCATCGAACCATTTTATTTTACAAGTATTTCTTTCTTTTTACTTACCTTTTTTTGCTTTATTTGCCTCTCGACCTTTGTCATCTTCTAGGAACCCTCACTATTTCTAGTTATGTTCACTACTTTTTTGAGAAAAGTTTCGCAAAGAGTCACTTGGTGTAAGTTTGAACTTTTGAAAGAAAGGTTTACTCCTGTAGGAAATAAAATCCTAACATTGGGCGCTCCGGTAGAGCAATAGTCCACTGAGCCATTCCCACGCAAAGCATGCGAAACGAACGAAATTTACTAGTCTTTAGATTTTCCAAATGATAAAGTAAAGATGAATCGGTTGAAATTCGCAAACTGATAAAATATTCCATAATGCACTATACTCGTTCAGTAAAAAAAAAACAAATGGATAATCAAAGAAAATAGTTAAAATAAAATAATGCATTTTATGGTGGTTTAATGAATTTTTGCGAAAATTAAGTGGAGAAAATTCCAATTTTAACCAATTAAATTCATTTACTTGCCAATAATCGTTTTTTAATAACAAAAAAAAACGTCATTTATTATGTTACCTGATAATTTATCAAAATAAAGCATATCACTTTATTTATCAACGTTGATAATTCAAATTTCGCTCAACGAAAAATTTTTTGAACTAACCAAGTCATTTTTGGTGAGTACTGATAAAAGAGGAGAAAAAAGAGTTGGAATTATCAGCAAATAGCTCGAAGAGAAATGCGTTAAATTTTAGTTGTTATCTTTTTTCATTTTTTTTTTTTGAAAAAATATAAATTTCCAAAAAAATCCTAAAAATTGAAATGAAAAGAGGAGAAAAAAGAGTTGGAATTATCAGCAAATAGCTCGAAGAGAAATGCGTTAAATTTTAGTTGTTATCTTTTTTCATTTTTTTTTTTTGAAAAAATATAAATTTCCAAAAAAATCCTAAAAATTGAAATGAAAAATTGAGAATATTTTTTGAATGATTTTGCTTATTGAATTTTAAAATTTTGAGGAATTAAAGAATGTACTAAAGAATTTTTATAAATAATTAATATGTAGTTTTAAATTAATATATTAATATATAATTTTGCATATAATTTTTATCAAAAAAATTTTTTCATAAAAATTATATATTTCATTAACTAAAATGTTTAAAAAAAAAATTTAACTGACAATTAAAAAACACTTAAAAAATTTGGTATATTTATTATCAATAATAGAAGTTCACGATCGAAATTTGGAAAAATTCTATCTAATTTTGTTCATTCAAATAATTAAGTAAGCTGCCCACTTGTGCATTTCTCGTTAAGGCAGATTGGTTGACAATTTGAAATTTTTGCTAGAGATTTTGCGATAGAAGAAGGGAGTGCAAAGCCAGCATCATTCGAATAATTTGATAATAAAAAACCATGAATCATGAGATTAAGTGTACGTAACCAGTGAAGTTAAATGAGATCGTGCTCGTGATACCAACTACCAGCTTTAGCCTCATGAGTTTCTACAGCAAAATTCTCAGCAAAAAAAGATAGATTTACCCTTACATAAGATAACATAAATCTTATGAAATATTGTTTTCATATGTACTATTTTGTTATTATTTGTGCTATCATTTTTCTTATCACTTCCATTACAACTTACAAAGTATAGAATGGCTCAGGGGGTTGTTGCTCAGTTCGGTGCGCCAGTGCTGAGGTTCTATTCCTTGTAGGAATAAACCTATCCAAAAATCCGAGAAAAGCTAGCGACTCACCTGCACTTTTATCGCCAAGGTACTCCTTGGCATATTTGCTCAGTGTGACAAGCCAGCGGAGAGAGTTTAATGGTGAAAACTCCTAAGAAAAAAAATTACAAAATTTACATATGTTGAAATTCTCAGAAATCTGCTCTTAAGAGTGTTGTATTGGTATATTTCGATAGCATTAAGGAACAAAAAAAAAATTCATTTATTTTTAAGCGAAGGCGTAAAAATGAAGATTAATCTATTAAACGAAATATCATTATGAAAATTTTTGAAAAAAATTATAATCTATAATTTTCAGCTTATTATATAACTGAAATATTCCATTTCATGTGATAATGTGATAAGCAATTTTTATGAATTTCGTATTAATTCTATTTTATTTAAAGACAAAAAAAATCCATGATTTTAATTAATGAATAAAATATTGAAAAGAAAAACGATTTGCACAAATCGCACTTTTCAACCGCTCTTCAAACTTCCGATTTTCATAAATTAAATTACTTTTAAGACTTTTTTTTCGATAGAAAAATACTTTCGTAAAAAAATAAAAATTCTTTTTTTTTTTAAGAAATCTTTTGAATCGATTACAAATATAAAATTCGATAATATAGTTATAGTGATTTTGTAAATAAAACAAAATATTTTTGGACAAACTATAGAAACTATTAAAGAAAAAACCGATAGTAGAAAAGTAGCTTTATTGTTGCACTTATTGTTGCTCTAATTTTGAAACGCAGCAACTGAAATTCAAATTTCGGTAGGAAAAGATGTTTGATATTCAAAAATTATAGGTTTTTCTAGCGATTCGCCTATCTTCGAGTAATTCCATAGCAAAAAAATTTCTTTTCAGCCCAATAAGCCAATAAAAGCCTAATTGGAATAAAAAGAGAATTTTATAAGCAACTAAATAATTACAATTTATTCTAATCCATATTGCGAATGATTGATGAAAAATTTTCTCAATCGTTTCAATCGTTGTTCGATATATATTTATTGAAATGAAAGAAGACAAAATTTTGCTATAGCAATTAGATTCAAAAAGAAATTTATAAATTTTAATAGGATGTAAAAACGATTTGCAAAGAGGAGTTCTCACGCCTTTCTTATCATCCGAATTATTCGAAATGCGTATTAGATTTAATAAGATTTAATTAATAAATTTCGAGAATTGAGAAAATTTATACCCAAAAGAAAAACTAAAATTTTTTTGCTCTTTTCTAATAAAGCGAATCATTTTTTTCATTCAATGAATACTAATGATAAGAATTCTGATAAGAATTTTTCACTTTATATTTTCAATGAGATAGAAATGGATTATTTTCAATATTAAATTTATTCTTATCGAGAAAATTGAGCAATTTAATTCATGTTGATCTTATAAAGAGAAACAAAACAAAATTTGTAAACATAATCCCTTTATATAGTAGAAAATTTCATCATTGATAATAATTGCACAATAATTTCCACTAGGATGAGCACTCATAAGCATAAGAAATTATTTGATCAAATATCTGCTTGCAGAAGAGAATATAATTATATCATTCCAGAATCACTTGGAATTATCATTGATAAGCTTATTCGATGCCGAATAGTGAAGCTTAAAATAATAATCTAAACATTCGCCTATACAACTTTTAGTTTGTTTGTTGACAATGTTAAAGAATTCTTAGAATGATTGAATCGAATTTTACCATCCCATAAATTTAATTTATTTGTTTATAATACATTGATTTAGTGAACTGAATAAAGTTATTGGTTAAGAATGATGGAAAAATCGAAAAATATGCGTTTCATAAATTTTTTTTTTATAATTTAGCTGCAAAAATAATAAATCATTAAATGAAATAAATAAATTAAAAATGATAAATTATCAGTCATTTAGCATTTTTCGCCGAAATCTTTATTCGATTCATTCACGCGTAAATGCACTATTGGGCTATGCACTATGCAATAAATTTTCACATCTGATCTTTTTTAGTAGTTCAAGAAGTTGGCCATAGTTTGTCAATGATTTATGGCGCATTTGAGCTAATCTAAGCTATAGGTACATTTCGCTCTATCTTTAGTGGGAAATACAGCACCAGCATTTGCAACCATGGCCATTGGAATCATAGCCGAAGAACCTAGGAACTGCTCTGGTACCTATATTTTACGCTGCTATTATATTCTGAAGCAGTTATAATTGTGAAAATTGTTATATCTTAAATTGTTGTTATATTTTTTATATCTTAAAATATCTTCCAAAGCCTGCTATTTTGTGAAAATCCCCTTGAACTGTGTTAAAATCTTAGAACTTCCCAAAATCACATTATTTCTAGTAAATGCTTCCGCATTCACTATTATTTTTTGCTCTAATCTTGGATCTTTCCTCGTCTTCTAAACAATTTCCTCGAAACAAGTATGCAATCCAACTCCGCCGTATCCTTTTATTAGAATAAAGCTTGTTCTAAAACGGAAAGTAGTGGTCCTGAAATTCAAATATTTAATATTAATAAATCGCCCAATCTGTCTTGACAAACTGCCAAGCCTAATTATGTTCTTTTGTTACAACTTTTTAATACTCCCTTTAAACTGAATTCTTGGCTCCATCGTTGCCTGCCAAAATTAGCATGTTTTCCCAAAAACTTCCGCAAACACATCGGATATTCTTCCATAACATCAAAACTCTCTTGCAGCTCTTCGCTGCAAGCTCTAGTACTTTCTTTATGCATCAAAGTGCAATTTAATCCTATAATTTTATTAATACTTTTTTAAATCTCATATAAAATCTTCAAACTCAAAAATTCTTGGAACAATTAGAAAGGCACCATCAAACCTTGTTTTATTATAGCCATATTCTATTAACAGGACTATCATAAAGGTCCTTCATTATTTTCACCTCTAAAGCACTATTGCAATTCTTTGATTGACTATTTCTTTAGAATCTTCTATAAATTTCTATAATTTTCTTTGACATAGTAACCAACGGCATTGTGTCCGTTTCTTCAAACCTGGCAGTTTGTACCTCCTTGGATTTCTCAATCGTCAGTACCTTATATTATGTTAGCTCTGACTATGATAGCTTAACATGTTGTTCTACCAAAATTTAAAAAGGAAAAAAAAATTCGCTTATCGACTGTCCATCGAAATTTCGAATATTTCAAAATTTGTCGTATTTTCTAGAAAAAACCCTCTTAAAAGCCATCAAATATCTCTTTAGAATGTCTGAAACACCTTTCTTCATTCGTCATAAGTCCATTTGCATTATTTGCATTTTAATGCTATCCACCTTCATTTTGTTGCCTTAAAAATACAAAATACCTCATACATTCCGCACTTCACTTTTCGCATAGTTATAAGTTATTGAAATTATTGTGAAATTTCAAAAGAATACAAGAATATGAAAGTACTGAGAGAGATTTAGCCAACCACCAAAAAGCAATACATGAGATTTCAGTGAAATTCGATTAAAAGAATATAACGAGATTTAAAGAAATATTACAAGGAATATGCATAGGTTTAAGGTTTGAAGATTTTCTGCATATCTGTAAAGCTGTACCGTTTTTTTTTTACCGATAATAATAATAATAAATAATGAATATTTTACATTCAAAATCTTTATGAACGTTTAGGTGGACCAGCAATATATGGACTTAGACGAAAGAAAAAGGAATAGCTTCCATTACTGTCGACGATGGTATCAGACCACACCGCTTGGAAGCATCGCGTAGCTTTGTGGCCTTGGCTTTGAGCCAAGCAGTAATGGTGAGAGCTGTTAGAAGAAGAAGAAAAGAATGAATTTTTTATTGTATAAAGGGAATTAAAGAATATTTTGATGGGTAAATTTAATTGAGAGTAAATTTAGCAGAAAATGCGAATTTTATGTGAGAAACTAAAGAAATTTTGACGGTTAGAATAAATTTATTAAAGACGAAAATTTATTGGAGAGCATTTGAAGAAAATTTTAACTCGAAGCAAATTTAATAGCGAGTTTAACGAATTTAAAATAAGTTTCAAAAGAGAAATTGGAGAAAGGTTAAACTAATGAATAAAAATAAGATTTTAAGGGGATAGAATAGCAAGAAAACAACACATAATACAAAATATTAGATTATCGTATTACGAAGCAGGAATTCGACTATTATATCTGATAAGAAGAGGTATTCGTTCATAAAATTGCGAGTGGTACTGGAGATGTACTCGTACTTCTTTGCGCTATTATTCCTCGCCAAAAATTTCTAGTTCCATAAACATTCAGCGAGAAGAGCATGAATGATAAATACTGACAAATCATTTTACTTAAAATTTCACCTTATCACTACTTTAAAATAATTTTTGCCATAGACTTATAATCCCTTGATAATTTCCCTTGTCAGACTCTATTATAACACTCCATGTACCTCTTATTTATTCTCTGCTTAACATTGCTTTTGTTAAAATACGTAACTAATATGCCTCTCCACTGAGCACCACTTTACTTTGTCATATTTCACTATCTCTTTGTGTCTCTTCTTTACAGCTTACTAACATTTTTTAAGACTCTGTAATACTACTTGAAAACTCGACACGTGGAACTGGAAGTTTTATATCTTAGTGATTATCACTTGTAGCCTTTCTACTGATAGCTTTTGCCATAAATCATTAGTGATATCACTTTAAATCACTTCTTAATTTTTAAACTTTTTGATAAATATCTTATCTTTGTTTTAGAAAATCTTGCTTGATGCTATTCCCTCCTCCACTTTGTTGCATTAATGCTCTCTCAAACTCGTGTGAGTTGACAGATAGTGTCGAAAAAGTATAGAAATAAATTCGAGAGTGCAGTTTACATCAGAGAAAGTTGCTAAGCTGAACCGTGAAATCTTCGGCTATCATAATAAATTATATCCTTTAATCTCTAAAACATATAAAGCTTTATACTTCAACATCCTCGAATTTTCTTTCTTTTCCTTCCATCAATTCTATGCTTTTTTGATAGTTTATCTATAACATTCGCTTTCACTCATTTTTAACATTTTAATCACTTCAGATTCCATTTTAGCCTCTTAAAACCACCAACCATTGCTTCTCTCGTTGTTTTTCTTTGTTACCTGCAGGACCTTTTCAAATCCTTGGTGCTTTCCATTTTCATTTCCATTTTTGTAGCTTTCCATTATAGTTTAAAATTCCGTTATCTATAGATTAGTTATATGGATCATGACTTCAATGCACAGTGCTAATCGATTATTCTTATATTTTTTTGATTTATTATAATTTTATACATTTTGTTTTAAAAGTGAAATAGCCATTAAAACCATAAAAAACTGAAAGATTGACCACAGTCATTAAATAATTCGATGAAAGTACCTTACGATACCAGGTTTCACCGTATTCTGGCACGTATTGTTCTCCTAATTCAGCGAATTGAATATGAATCGATTCCAAAAAGCTATTAGTGGTAACTCTAAGGAACTAATCTAAATTTGTTAAAAAAAATGGATATGGTGAGGTCATATCTGTTCCGTGTGGATGAGGATGCTCACAGAAGCTTGGAACAAGACCACAGTCGACTATATTCATCGAAAAGGATGTTGTTTAACAGAAATTCCATATTCCTCTTTTCTGGTCTTAAGCAATTATATTGCCTAGTTAAGATTCGAGTTAAGGGCGAAGGAATTGTTTATTGGTCAGTATATTGTTTGAAATCGCATTGCTAATTTCGAAAAGATTTTATCAGTTCTCATATCAGTGTCGAAGCATTTTGACCATCTTGGTTTGAAAACCAAGTATAAGATCAAGTTTTACTGTTAATTTAAATAAAAGGTCTGCAATTTCTCGTTTATTAATGCAGTAGCCGTATGTGCGATTCTGAACAATGGCCGATAGCTCTGAAACGATTGATTATTACAGGTCTTAACTAAATGCTTTTCTTGAAAAGTCAACTAAATCCACGCTAAATTGAGGCAATTTAGATCTCGAAAGAAAAGATTTAATTGTCCAAAAATGCTGCGAAAAACCGAACGTCAAGAGATATTTATCAGTACCACAAGTACAGCGATGGCTACTTGAGTAGGCGACAATCGAAAATTATTTCATTTTATTTCATAATTCGAAATAATCAATGGTAATCCAAGATATCTGCTATAATTTTTCTCCCTAGTGAGGAAATTCGTTAAAGAGTAACAAATATAAGAAAAAGATTTAACCTGAAGTATCCGCATTCTATGCCTTTTTAAGAAGAAAGTGTCCCATAATGTTGCATCCATCTTTGCTTAAATACTAGTAAAATCATTAAATTTAGGTCAATTAAGCAATGTTTTTCATGATCCGTCAATTGACGCATATTCATGGCCCTTGCCTTCGTAATGGATAATGGCAAAATTGGAAAGACTCATTTTATAGGATAGAGGTGCGCAACTCAGCAAAAAAAGATTTACAGAAAGTACAGATGGACCAGCAATGTATGGACTTAGACGATGGAAAAAGGAGTGGTTTCTATTAATGTCGACAGTGGTGTCAGATCGAATAACTTGGAATACCGTTGTAGCCATTGGAGCCAGCCTAATTAGTAATGGTGAGAGCGGTTAAAAGGAGGCAACTCAGCAATATATGATACGTTTAGATCCAAAGTTGGATCTGAAAACCATGTATATTGTTAGAAGGAGAAATTTCGTTGTGCTCTGCTAGAATTTCTTAGATCTAGCAAAGTTCAATTATCACCACCGTCTAATAGCTCTTGCTTCTTTATCTCGATTATTAATTAGGATAAAGCTCCTTTAGAGGTGATAGTATTATATTAATAGTGAATTGAATACTGTCCAGTATATTCCATCTCTTGCTTTCCAAAATTTCTATTACTCTTTCGTAACAATCTCTATCAATATCGCTTTAAACTCCCTTGCACTGTCCTTGATTTTAAACCTCGTTATGGTCCCTTGATTTTACTCCAAATTTATCCTAGAATCTATTATTAAAAACCCTTCAGAAATTCCAATCTAATTAAAATATTTCTCTTGAATCTTTCTATTAAAAAAATAATTTTTCTTTTATTTTCACTATCGTCACCGTTGTTTAAAATGGGCTTTTCGGCTTTTTCTATAAGATAGCAAATTCAAAAAACATGCTGGAGGAGATGGTGAACAAATATCGAAGGTTTTAGTGATAATCAAAGAGTGCAATATGGTAAGAAATCGATTATCCCTAATTTTTCCTTATCATTTCGACATGATAAATGCATTGTGCCAATTTTTTTTGTTATTCCTTCCTCAATATATGGTTCAAGTATATATCTTCAATATTTTCATTTATTAATCATGAAGAAATAAAGAAGCTTGAATGGTAAAAGTGACAAACTATAAACTATAAATTGATAATGGTGCCGATCTCTTGATAACGAGAGATTGTTAGTATTATAGTAGTAGTATAATATGAACTTAAATTGATTGAAGATTTATGGCCATTTCTTATAATTTTCTTTTTGGAGCGTTCATCGCTTTTAGGAGGTTTGGTCCACTGGCTTGTGGAACCACAAGAATTTCGTCAAGGGTTTCATTTGCTGAAATACGGGTAAACTACCTGTATAACGAAACTGGATTTTTGAAACACAGATTTACTCTTGTTTGGAGTAAAAGCTCGCCATCGGAGATATTGCAAAATAACACCCCCGTACCACTTTTCTTTTAAATTAAATTCTTTAAAATTTCTTTTAAATTTATATGTAATAAAATGATAATTGTTTGGGAGACTATTTAAC